ATTTTTAGACTTGGGACATTTTATTTGCATCATCATACTGCATTTACTTTGTACTTACACCAAAAAATTTGTTTCACACTGAGTACCAAACACCCTGTATAAGTTCGTTAAAATGTAAATTATGGAGATCATGTTAAGCTAAATAAAAAAAATAAAAAACAATTATTTCAATTGATACTACTTAGTTTTTTACGACATTTTGCTGTATTTGCAGCATCAGTTGAAGATACTGACCTAATAATAATATAAATTAATAATTAATAGTTAATAATTAAGAATATAAATGGACAATAATTTGAAAAGTATCTCTCATCACTTACTTTAATCCAAGGTGAGTAATAGAGGCCCTGTCACTTTTATGTTACTACGATAATTGTGTTCCAGAACTCAATCCAACACACCTCACTAATTGTCTAATATCCACCATTTTAATGTTCAATAGCGACAACGATTTGTAATGCGAAAATAATATCTTGGTTAAAAAAACTACTGTATCCATGTGTGTAAATATTGGAGTTTTATAACAGGTGCGTTTGTCACCCATGTAGACACTGTAATACGTAAAATAGTGAACCTAAATACAATTTCTCTTAACAAACCTAGCATTATCGATAATCGGATTATCCACAATCACTCGAAAAATATTACGGTTTGTTTTAACCGATCTTTTTTTGAGAGCAGTTCGGTATAACTAACGTTTTCTAGGAATCTCGGCATTTCCGCTCCCACGCCAGGCGATTGGAACAATACTCTACACTCGACATAATGTTATTAACAATACGTTATTTTTTAATTATTCAAAAAAATATGTCACATATTGCCAGTTATCATGGTTGCCGTATCGATAATTCCGACGAAATGTTCCGCGAATTGAGATACATTTGGAAATCATCAATTACTAATGGTATTAAATTAGAATTTTTATTGATTGCCTACAACCAAACATTTTTCCACTGAATGTATTGACTTGACCATATTTTGGGTTTATTTGTGACTTTTCTATCGTCAATACATAGGAAAAATAGGAGTTAAGGGTAGTTAATTTTGTAAATAATGCACGCACCACTTCAGAATAAAGATTTATCTGAGCTTTTGAATTATCCGACCTAGGTCTCCAATATCCCTTTGGAAATCGTATGGTCGTTATTTCAGATTAAAGTGTTAAAATTAAAGGATCGGTAAAGAGGGAAGTCTACTGTAGAATGTTCTTCCTGGTTCGTACTTTTCCTACTGTTGTACTTTTTTTGCTGTGCTTTTTGCAAATAACACAAGAGATAGAACAGAGGAGACACGTAAATATCTCACTAGGTTAAATTGCTAGTATTAATGCGTAATATCTGAATAAAGAGTTATTTAAATATTATTGGATAAATTATTGAGTGTAATAATTTACTAGATAACATTTGTGAATATTATAAAAAGTATGGATTGGGTCTTTGCTTTCAAAACCACTATTTTCTTCAAGAAGCCTGAATAATCGTCCGTTTCTTCTTAAGAACATATCTTAAGCACAGAGAATATTTTCGTTTGCTTTAATTTGACTAAGTGTTTTTAATGTGAAGTTTGCTTTTTGAAACTTCCCAAGAGTGAGTTATATTGACTTTTTGATTCATTAAAGGACGATGCTCTTCTGTTTACTAATAGAATGCCAAATTAGAATTGAAGGACTCGTCCCCTCTTTCCTAGCTTCTCCTTAATTGATTCAATTCACTTCAAATTTAGTGTTTACCTTCAACATAAATCAGAAAGGAACTTTTTCTATGATTAAAAATAATTAAAGATCAACATATACCAAACATAATTTCTCACACATGATACCCATTTTCTCAGTACGGTGTAAATTGATTGTTTATTGCATTACGATTATGTATTTAAGAAATATATAGTGGTTTGCTAAGTTGATATAATCTTTAGCTACCTATATCACAAAATCATTATATTATTATATAAAAACTAATCATATAATATATTACATATATTATTTAACTCATTATATTACAAAATAAATATTAATTTTTAACTAGGAACCCCTGACAGAAACAATTAAATATTTATATGGGTTTTTCTAGAATTTATACATCAAGACTCGAAACACTAGACGCTGTATTTTAAAGCTGCCAATTCAATAGACGATCCAAACACTATTATTTCAGTACAGAGAGGGTCATATTTCTTCTCAAACAATAAAGTTATTATCTAACCATTGATTCTTTTTAACGTCATAAATACTCCGATTTAATTTGAATATTAGTTTCTAAGTTGTATAACTAAATATTTTATAATACCGTTCTTCCACGTTGAAAATTGTTACTAAAACTCAGATTTTTTGTTGGATTTCTTGAATCTTGTTCATATACATTTCTATATTATGGATTATAATTTATACTTTTGCAGGAACGGATCTTTAAACATAAGAAATATATATATTTGTTTAACGTCAATTTTAAAACATCATTGCCTTATCCTCAAATAAAATACGCCAATAAATAAACACTTACAATAATGCATATAATTGAACGGCTTATTTACAAGCCGATAAGTATTTACAATTGATATATAAGAAAGGTATTTCTTCGGCAGTAAATATTTACTGGTGCAGATAAATAGATTAAATTATTTAAATGTTCACTGTTACTAAGCTGATCACTATATTGGTCCGATCTCAAATTAACATTGACATCTTTCTGCCTTGATCACAGATTTATACAGATTATAAATCGGCAAACATGACTTAAAGCTATTAATGTAAAAATATTTAGCTTGTTTAGCTATATTTTCTGTCTGTCTTTGTATTGATAAGGCTATTGATTTTGGCAAACACAATAAATTAACGAGCAGAAGCGATAGTGATGGTCGATGTTTTAATATCATGTCAGTCTCCGTCTTTGTGTTCCGAACACACAATCAACATCCAATTATAGCCAACGATTGCCTTCAACAACGCAGTCCATCCTTCCGATGTGTGACCGATAACGTTATTACAAAAATCATATATTCCATTTGGGTCGTTAAGGTGTAATGGGCGAAAAATACACATTAACAAAATACACATAATGATTTTCTGTTGGAAAAAATATACGTTGTTTACTTTAAAATATTTTTAATGCATAAAATGGGGGGTAACACTTTTTAAAGCTAATATTGTTTTAAAAACATTATATTTGTTAAATAAAGAATAGTTTAGTGCACATATGTGTATACAGAAAATTTTCATATGCAAAAATATAAGCATTAAAATTACTAACAAGTAAATTAATTGGGGAATCATATTACAGGTTCTTACTAATACAGGCTCGAGCAAGTTAAATTTCAAGTTTACTATTGACTAATGATCAGAAAAAGTAAAGAAGATCAATGGAAGGGTAATACCATACATTTTATTAGTAAAATCATACGATAACACTATACACCTGTTCAGATTATACTTATTGATAATGCAATATGAATGAAACAATCATAAGGCAACAATTAAAAATATAAAGATGTAAACAGTCTTTATCGCTACAGCACTATTAAATATTGTTCACACTTGCTTAAAAGCCATTTATTGGTCCAGTTGTTCTAGGTAGTGCAATTTTAATACTGGAAAATAGTTTTTTTATGTTCAAAGTCCGTAGAGTGTGTGTTACATTTATTGTCACAGAAACTAAACAATTATAAATTTGTTGATATTTTAGTGGGTTTTTAATTAATTGATAGTTTTCTGTCTATTAGTGATATTTTGGAAACAAAGAACGTTTGAAATGTGATATCCTTGTGTCAGACAACACCTCTCAGACAAGAAGCCTTTCATGTGGGAAACGTGTACACGTCTTACATGATATCATCAAACTTATATATTGTATGGTTCAAAAGTTACAGTATGGTTACATACATAAAGTAAACAGGAATATAAAAACAATTCATTTTAAAATCAGTTATCGTATTATTTACTTGGGGATGTTGTAATTATTGTAACTATTTTATAACTTTCTTCGTGTAAGTACTACTTTAAGCATTTAACACATCGAACTAGTTAAACATGCCATATAACTCTGATATCTTTTTTAAATTACTAAGCAGCGTTTTAATGTTACCATTGACTATTGGATACTATAGGTAATACTGAACTTAAATAATAATAAACAGCAGGGCTAATTTGTTCATTTTTATCCATTATTCCTTGCTCAATTACCAACACAGTGTAAATCTAAGTGTGAGAACCCTATCCCATTTAATTTTACTTCTAATTAGGAATCATAATCGACCAAAATACAAGTATTTAGTTTCACTGTGGGAGTTTATGTACCAAGGACATGTTCTAAGGTGAAGTGACCAAACTACTTCTTATGTTTTGAGGTTGTTGTAAATCATCATAATTGGAAATTGAATAATTAATAAAAACTATGTAAATTTGAAAATATTTGAAATTTTGCATTACGTGTACTCGGTTAGGTTTTTTCAATGGCTGTTAATAATCATAGATCATGTTTAAGTGCATAGCTTTAAATTTTGGTGTAATTGGAATCCATCTATTTACTGAGTAGGATTAGAATTTTTAAATTACATTTTACGACAGATGCTATAATAAATACTTTAAACATAGATATTTTATATAGAGTAGCATTTCAAAACAATAAAAAAATATATTGCAAGTACCAATATACAACCAATCTACAGGGGAACCTATATACCAACATAATCACATGCATGCATTAAAAAGTATTAAAACAGAGAGAAACGAATAAACAAAGCACAAAATATATAAGCCTACATTTAATGATAAACAAAATCGAACGTAAAACAATCCTGTCTCCGTTTAGGAGCTTATAAAGCTTGTTAATCTCATTATATTCTTCTAGTGTGCAAATATTTCAGGAGGGGCCGGGTACAAAATTGGTTCATTAGACTAACGGCAGGCTACGCTATTATCAGCATAGACCCGGTAGCTAAGGGGTGGGCGCAAGCGCGGCGGCGCGGCGCAGCTTGGGACCGGGCTCCCCGGCAGTGTCGAGGCGACGGGCGTCACGTCGGTGCGACGGGGCGGCGACAGATCGTACTGTTTACAAAGTGTGGCAATCGCTGTGGCCAGAAACTACCTGCAAATGTGATACTACGTCGTCTGCGATCATGTGAACGGTGGCAGTGAGTGGAGGGTGTCATGTCATGCTGTTGTTGTGTGATGTTGTTGACAAGGATGTAGGGATGGACCGGTAGTGAGATGTGGATGTGGACCATGGGGACCGGGGTCGCCGCGTCCAGGTGGAGGCTGGGGACACTGTTCGTCTGCTGGGGAGTGTTGGCAACACTGGCTGGAGCTGTCCACTCCGCTAGAGATGGTAACTATCACAACAGAACACTCTGTGGTCGTAACAATAGAAAATTTTGAGTTATTAAACAGTGCGAAACACAAATAGGCGAATATAGGCCCTGTAAAACAATAATTTGTGTATTAATATAAGGATAGAACAAAATAATACCTAGTGTGTCCGTCAATTTTACTTATACATTTTAAAATAATGAAACCCTTTAAGTAAAACAAAAGTAAGCAAGATATATTTGAAAAAATACCACACAATATATTTTATTTATGACTATTTCATCCTACTGAAAACAGAGACCAAACTAATTGATAAGGATTGCTATTTTACCATGCATTTGAAAAATATTAAATGAGTTTTAAGCTTGTCATGTACAGTAGTTACAAAAAAGTTGGGTATGATATCTTTATATTCAAGGGTATTGAGATTGGTCACAGTATAGAATGCTGACATTAATATATAACGTACATACCGTTGACTAGAGCATCAACACAGTCAACTTCAGTAGCTTAAGTCTTTCAATTAGCGCAATAATTATGTTTTTAATATAGCTAAAAAAGTGCAATGATGAAGGGAAGTTTTAAGGTTCTTTACGTATATTTTAACTGTCCAAAAAGAATGCAAAACAATACAATAACAACAATGGCTTGACTAGGCGTGGCCGTTTCACTGCGGTCGTATTGCCGTTGAACAAAACCATCTTGTTTTGCAGTATGTTTATCTAAATAACCGAATAACGATTGAATCATATCCATTACAACCTACAAACACAAGGCTACAACCCATTCAAACTCGTGTTATATTCAAAGAAGAGTGTAAGCGAATCAATGTTTATTTAGGTTGTGATACTGTCTTTAAAAATGCACAAACACGCAGGCCTAATCAATTTATCACTACCGGTATTTTTAAAAACAAATAGCTGAAGTTATTTAAAGAAAAATATGGTCGTATTAGCAATCCAGCTTTAAATAGCTATACACATGTGTGCTAATAGTTATAAAAAATTATATTAGCAACATTTATAATCACATTTATAATCACATTTTTTACAAATATTAACTCGCCGAATATCAATTATTGTGACAATATTAACGTAAGAAAGACTATGTGAAACGAATTGGACTGAGTATTGTACTCACTATGGTATCTTGGTTCGTATTAGCCTATCTATGGTTTACGTTCATGAATACCTATCTATGTGACATTTAGTCCAAATCCAAGAACCCCTTTTAAAATATAATTTAAAAGTGAACTTCAATCCTAAAGTAAAACAAAGTAATCAGTAATATGTTAAAACCAAGAAATACGATTCTTAAAAAGTCGACTTATTATGGTGTTTTAGATATTGCGCGTACTTCATCTACTAAGTTAGAGTAATAATATTTGTATTGTTTTGTTATTGAATACTCAATACCAGACTCCCTACATTCTATGACTGGTGTTACGTTATGCAGGTAAACGTGGTGTGACGTAATAACGTACTTTACCTACGCTATGGGATATGTCCGGTTGTGTAGACTATCGTTTTGATATTGTTTACTCACTACTCCACTCTCAACATTCAATGACGGGTGTTTAGTTATGTAGGTAAACGTGTAGTGACGTTGTAATGCACTTTCCCTACGCTATGTACTGCATCATGTTATTCACACTCTACTCTTGTTTATCTTTTGGAACTATTTACTCACTACCTTACTCACAGTTTGTATGACATGTTATTTACTGTAGGCAGGGGACGGGTGTTTAGCTAGGTAAACGTGCTATGTCATCGCAGTGTACTGTATTGTATTTACGCAATGTGCTATATCCTCCTGTACATACTCTACTACTCTTGTTTGTTGATAGTTTTGTAATTGTTTACTCACCACCCCACTCAAAGTTTGTATGACATGCTATTTACTGTAGGCAGGGGACGGGTGTTTAGCTAGGTAAGCGTGCTATGTCATCGCAGTGTACTGTACTGTATCTACGCTATGTGCTATATCCTCCTGTACATACACATAACTGCGATACACATCTACTACTCTTGTTTGTTGATCGTGTTGTAATTGTTTACTCACCACCCCACTCTCAGGTTGTATGACATGTTATTTACTGTAGGGAGGGGACGGGTGTTTAGCTATGCAGGTAAGCGTGCTATGTCATCGCAGTGTACTGTACTGTATCTACGCTATGTGCTATATCCTCCTGTACATACTCTACTACTCTTGTTTGTTGATCGTGTTGTAATTGTTTACTCACCACCTCACTCTCTGCTTGTATGACATGTTATTTACTGTAGGGAGGGGACATGTGTTTAGCTAGGTAAACGTGCTATGTCATCGCAGTGTACTGTATTGTATTTACGCTATGTGCTATATCCTCCTGTATATACTCTACTACTCTTGTTTATCTTTTGGAACCATTTACTCACCACCTCACTCTCAGCTTGTATGACATGTTATTTACTGTAGGGAGAGGACGGGTGTTTAGCTAGGTAAGCGTGCTATGTCATCGCAGTGTACTCTACTGTATTTACGCTATGTACTATATCCTCCTTGACATACTCTACTACTATTGTTTGTGGATCGTTTTGTAATTGTTTACTCACCACCTCACTCAAAGTTTGTATGACATGTTATTTACTGTAGGGAGAGGACGGGTGTTTAGCTAGGTAAGCGTGCTATGTCATCGCAGTGTACTGTACTGTATCTACGCTATGTGCTATATCCTCCTTGACATACTCTACTACTATTGTTTGTGGATCGTTTTGTAATTGTTTACTCACCACCCCACTCAAAGTTTGTATGACATGTTATTTACTGTAGGGAGAGGACGGGTGTTTAGCTAGGTAAGCGTGCTATGTCATCGCAGTGTACTGTACTGTATCTACGCTATGTGCTATATCCTCCTGTACATACACATAACTGCGATACACATCTACTACTCTTGTTTGTTGATCGTGTTGTAATTGTTTACTCACCACCTCACTCTCAGGTTGTATGACATGTTATTTACTGTAGGGAGGGGACGGGTGTTTAGCTATGCAGGTAAGCGTGCTATGTCATCGCAGTGTACTGTACTGTATCTACGCTATGTGCTATATCCTCCTGTACATACTCTACTACTCTTGTTTGTTGATCGTGTTGTAATTGTTTACTCACCACCTCACTCTCAGGTTGTATGACATGTTATTTACTGTAGGGAGGGGACGGGTGTTTAGCTATGCAGGTAAGCGTGCTATGTCATCGCAGTGTACTGTACTGTATCTACGCTATGTGCTATATCCTCCTGTACATACTATACTACTCTTGTTTGTTGATCGTGTTGTAATTGTTTACTCACCACCTCACTCTCAGGTTGTATGACATGTTATTTACTGTAGGGAGGGGACGGGTGTTTAGCTATGCAGGTAAGCGTGCTATGTCATCGCAGTGTACTGTACTGTATCTACGCTATGTGCTATATCCTCCTGTACATACTATACTACTCTTGTTTGTTGATCGTGTTGTAATTGTTTACTCACCACCTCACTCTCAGGTTGTATGACATGTTATTTACTGTAGGGAGGGGACGGGTGTTTAGCTATGCAGGTAAGCGTGCTATGTCATCGCAGTGTACTGTACTGTATCTACGCTATGTGCTATATCCTCCTGTACATACTATACTACTCTTGTTTGTTGATCGTGTTGTAATTGTTTACTCACCACCTCACTCTCAGGTTGTATGACATGTTATTTACTGTAGGAGGGAACGGGTGTTTAGCTAAGTAAGCGTGCTATGTCATTGCAGTGTACTGTACTGTATCTACGCTATGTGCTATATCCTCCTGTACATACTCTACTACTCTCATTTGTTGATCGTGTTGTAATTGTTTACTCACCACCCCACTCCCAGGTTGTATGACATGTTATTTACTGTAGGAGGGAACGGGTGTTTAGCTAAGTAAGCGTGCTATGTCATTGCAGTGTACTGTACTGTATTTACACTATGTGTTATATCTTCCTTTACATACTCTACTACTCTTGTTTGTTGATCGTGTTGTAATTGTTTACTCACCACCCCACTCCCAGGTTGTATGACATGTTATTTACTGTAGGGAGGGGACGGGTGTTTAGCTAGGTAAGCCTGCTATGTCATTGCAGTGTACTGTATTGTATTTACACTATGTGCTATATCCTCCTGTACATACTCTACTACTCTTGTTGTTGATCGTGTTGTAATTGTTTATTTACCACCCCACTCCCAGGTTGTATGACATGTTATTTACTGTAGGGAGGGGACGGGTGTTTAGCTAGGTAAGCCTGCTATGTCATCGCAGTGTACTGTACTGTATTTACGCAATGTGCTATATCCTCCTGTACATACTCTACTACTGTTGTTGTTGATCGTTCTGTAATTGTTTACTCACCACCCCACTCTCAGCTTGTATGACATGTTATTTACTGTAGGAGGGGACAGGTATTTAGCTAGGTAAGCGTGCTATGTCATCGCAGTGTACTGTACTGTATTTACGCTATGTTCTATATCCTCCTGTACATACTCTACTACTCTTGTTGTTGATCGTGTTGTAATTGTTTACTCACCACTCCACTCTCACCTTGTATGACATGCTATTTACTGTAGGGAGGGGACGGGTGTTTAGCTATGCAGGTAAGCGTGCTGTGTGTCGTCGCAATCAAGTGAGATGAGGTCCGTGATTAAAATGTTTGTGCTGACCCAGTCCACTCCACTCCATTCTGCCCGCGTTGGAACATGTTATCACACACTAATTAAACCACACCTCACTTTTAATCTCGATTAAAAACTGTTGCTTTTCACTTGGTGGTGATCTTTTTTTCACGCTCCGACCTTTTTTGGTGCATTCATCCTTTTCTTTACTGGTTGTATTTTACCCGACAATACTATATGCGTAACGATATTTCACATTCCATGTTCTGCATGAACGGGAAACATACTTCTTCTGTAAACACTACGCATACGCGCTTTTTATGTAAATCCCAGAGTTCAAAACGTGTTAAGTATCGTTAATCACTCGT